CCAGGCCTCTAGTATTAAATATTTGGGTTTAAATCTGCCATCATATCCTGTGTTTTTTCTGTTCTGTCTTGCCTTCTAAAGGACCAATAGTTTCATCATTTCAGTTTTTCCTTGTCTAATTGAAGCTATAATTCTTTTTTAAAAAAAATATATTTTATTGATTTTTTACAGAGAGGAAGGGAGAGGGATAGAGAGTTAGAAACATCCATGAGAGAGAAACATCTATCAGCTGCCTCCTGCACACTTCCTACTGGGGATATGCCCACAACCAAGATACATGTCCTTGACGGGAATCGAACCCAGGACCCTTCAGTCCGCAGGCCGACGCTCTATCCACTGAGCCATACTGGTTAGGGCAAAGCTATAATTCTTTTTCTCATCTTTTAGAAATTACTTCTAGAAATTTTATTAATAACTAGAGGCCTGTGCACGAATTGGGGTCCCTCAGCCCGGCCTGCACCCTCTCCAATCCGGGACCCCTCGGGAGATGTCAGACTACCTCTCGCAATCCAGGACCACTGGCTCCTAACCGCTCACCTGCCTGATCGCCCCTAACCGCCTCTGCCTCACCCCACAACCGGGACCCAGGATTCCCTCCTCTGGCCGGGTGCAGGCACTCAGGACCCAGGCTTCCCTCCCTCTGGCTGGCCGCAGGAACCCAGGTCCTAGGCCAGCTTTGCCTGGGCCAGCCTCAGCTGCAGGCGCTGGCTCCCGGGACCACGGGGCGGGCGGCTTGTCCCTCTCCTGGGCCACAAGCACAGGCACAGCTGTTGGCGCCTGGGACCGCAGGGCATGTAGCTTGTCCCTCTTCTAGGCCACAGCCCCAGCTGCTGGCACCCAGGACTGTGGGGTGCGTGGCTTGTCTCTCTCCCGGGCCGCAGGCGCAGCCGCTGGCACCTGGGACCGCGGGGCGTGTGACTTGTCCCTCTCCTGGGCCGCAGCCTGGCTGGTCCCCATTTCTCTCTCCCCAGTGTTGAGTGTCTGAGCCATTTTGGCATGACAGCATGACAACCATTTGCATATTAGCTCTTTATTATATAGGAGACTTATAAAGTGTAAAATTAAAAGATAGTTTTACTTTTCCCTCAGACAATGCAAGGACTTTAGAACAGTTAAACTCCATTTCTCTGACTTGTGTGCTATTGTTATATGTTTTAATTCTGTTTGATTTTTAAATTTCACGAGATGTTTTATGCACTTAATGTTTATTTAGATTTGCCTACTACATGTTTCTGTGGACTACTTTTAAACCTTACATCTGGGATAATTTTCCTTCTGCTTGAAAGATAATTTAGAATTTCTTTTAGTATGTTCTGCTTGTGTCATATTTCTTGGTTCTTTGTTTTTACGTGAAGGGTTTTTTTGTTTTGTTTTGTTTTTGGTGTTATAGACATAATTCCACTATCTTATGGCTTATTTTATTAGCTATTGAAAATCATTTGTCAGTGAGTCACTTCTGTGAAAGTAACTTTCTATTTTCTCTTAGTCTTTGGTTTTTCTAAGTTTCACTACGATATAGTATAGAATCTATATATGCTGCTTTTGGAAAGACCATGTCTGAGTTTCTCTGTGCCCTCCCATCCCCACCTCCAGGCAATGGGAATTCTGGGAAGCAAGGTTGGTTTGCTTCTGGCTTACTAGTATTCTATTGGTGATTCCTTATGGATATTAGCTTAGTATGAGGAAAATCTCACATTAAACTGCTTCAGTTGTTCAGAAATCAGGAGGCAGATTTGTTTTGCTTCCCTCATCATGCAGAATCATTAAATCACAATTTCAGATTTGCTGAGATTGGCAAATGCTATCAGGACAAACAGCTTCTGTACTCACCTCACTGGTTCTTACTTATTTGATTTGTACTGGTAATTTCTTATATTCTTATGGGAAAACATTTTTAAACTATAGTTAATTCAGCATTTTCAGTAGTTTTCAGTAGGAGTATTGGTCTGAACTGTCTAGCCTTCTGTCACTCAAAACCTGAAGTCTGCAATAGTATTAGAATTATCAGCTTAATCAGAAAATTTGACAAATGAAATTTGTTGTACCAGACACTGCTCTATGGTATACTATTCAGCCTTCAAAAAGAAGGGGATTCTACAGTATGTGACAACATGAGTGAACCTTGAGGACATCTATATATATAAAAGCCTAATATGCAAAGTGTCCCCTTGGGAATTCTACCGGGAAACTGAGTTTGATTGCTTGCTATGATGTGTGCTGACCATCAGGGGGCGGTGCGGAACGGAGGAAGGCCCTGTCCGGCAGCCGGGGAAGGGAGGCTCCAGCTGGCAGCCGGAAGGCCCTGATCGACCCTGATCACCGGCCAGGCTTAGGGACCCTACTTGTGCACGAATTTCGTGCACCAGGCCTCTAGTAATAACTGAAATAGCCAGTCATAGAAGGACAAATACTGTGTGACTGCACTGAATATGGTATCTAAAATAGTCAAACTCATAGAAGCAGAGGTGGTAGCATGGCAGTTACTAGAGGCTGGGGGAGGAGGGATGGGGCGTTGCTAGTCAAGGGGTATGAAGTTTCAGTTACACAAGATGAATACGTTCTAGAGACCTGCTGTACAACACAGTGCCTACTGTGAACAGGACTGCATTGTACACTTAAAAATCTAAGAGGGTTGATCTCCTGTTACATGTTCTTACCACAATAAACAAATAAATAAATAAACAAACAAGCACTTTTAAAGAAGTTTTTATTCTTAGTCACTGTGAGCTGTTCTTATAAAGAAACATTGCAATAAAGTGGTTAATAATGTGGCTGTCAGCCTTGGATTCATATTCTATTTCTACCACTGGCTAGTTCTGTGACCTTGGCAAGTTCCTTATTTTGTTATCGTTTACAGTTTACAGATTAGTAAAGTACAGTTTAGAGACCGTAACATACTAAATCATACAGCTAGCAAGTGGTTGAGCTAGACTTTAAATAACCCCGGACAAGCTGTGCTCTTTCTGCTATGCTTTCTGATCAGGCATGATTCCTGCTAAAGCAACTAAAGACTCAAAATACTACCAATATGTGAATAATGGACTTGATGTTGAAAGGCCCCATTCTTTCAACCAAATCATCTGAAAAGTTGTGAAAAGGAATAAAATTCATAAAGGAGGCACCACTTTTAGCAATAATTCCCCAATTGTCTTCAATGTTCTATAAGATACTACTAGATTCTCCTGTAATAAAATGCTCATGTGCAAATAAGCATGGGAACTGTGTGGGTACACAATAGATTAGCATATTAAAGACTGTGAGAAGACCTATGCTTAAAACACTAACACCCCAAACTACTGACTTTGAAACTTGTGGGTTCCCCTGGAAAACAATTTAAGAAACAATAACCTCTATGTCTAGCTCTTTATGTAATAGGTATATTCCTAGAACTGTGTTTAAATTAAAATCTTGAAATTAAATTTTATAATTAAAATGAAAAAAAGCCACCTATTTTTTTTCATGAATATAAGTATGTTAATATAGTGGGGTTTTCCTAAAGTTATGTTAATATCTTCCAAAACTGTAAAATTAAAAGGAAATACAAGATTTTTGAAATTTATAACTCAACTTTATTCTTGCTAGTTGAAGGGAAAAGCCAAAATGATATCTTGAGGTTTATATTTGTCATCAAGAAATTTTTATACTTTTTGTGAAACTGTGAAACCACATTGTGCAGATTGACTCACATAGAACTGAGATGTTATCTGGATTCTTTTTCTTGCCTGTGTATTGTTTTTGTTGTTGCTGTCATTTTTAAACTCCATTTTGTTCCCCATTTGAAAGTACAGATGAATTAGATAAAATCTTTTAGTAATGAAAAGTCAAACTGCTCTCACTTCCTGTTTCATTATATTGTGTCCTAATACCTCCCTTGGCTAGAAAACAAGAATTAAGTATTTTGATTAAATGGTTGCGTAAGGACTGAGAGACAGCATTGAGAAATGGAAAGGATATGGTTTGGGGAGTGAGACTACCCTAGATATGAAATTATGAGAAGCGTCTATTATGTGCGAGGCACAGTGATAGATGTCATTAACACATTATCTTATTTGATTTTCACCACCTTCCTACTTAAGATTGGTAGTATTTCTTTAATGAGAAATTGATATTGAGATAGATTAAATGATTAGCAAGATGCCATATTTCTTGTCTGATGTAGAAAGAAGCTGTGCTCCTGAGCTGAAAAGAAACCCGATTGCAGGGTATGTCGCAATGATTCTACATCCAGTCTCTCTTTTTAAGGACTGCAGTCAGGAAGAAATTATTCTTCTTGGTGGCCCATGAAATCTGAACTTATTCCATCAGAGAAACACATTGTTACATGTGGTATTTAGGGTCCAGTACATTACTGATTGAACAAACTTTATGAACTGGTTTGAAGACCTAATAATCATTTATGATTCTACTTTTTTAGGAAGTGCATCCTAATTTAAAAACAAGTAGCTTACAGATATTTAGAAGTTTAATTATTAATGAATCTTGGATTACTTATATAAAGAAATTTCCTTTTAAACTTTAAATTTATAAATCACAAAGTTAATTTCAGATGTGTTACTCAGATACAATTATAGAATTTTCATTTCATTTCCTGCCTATTTTAGGAAAAAAGATTCTTATTTATTTATTTATAAATTTATTTATTTATTTATTTGGGGACCATTTCCTGTATTGTATTTATGCATTTATTTCTCCCAGGTTAAACCCTTTATTTCTGAAAGATAGCATCTTTAATGAGGTATTAATAAAAAAGATTTGAATAGTCTCAGACAATTCATTGTGTGCTATTCTATAATAGAATGTTGAGTAGGTAAGTTAATAAAAAAACCTCTTGTTTTACTTTGTACTCATCATTTTAGGCTTGTCTTTTTCATTTAACTGATGTATGAAACTTTGGCTACGTTGCATCTATATATTAATTGTATTTTTATCAAAAATATTTTTTTTCCAGAGTTAGTAAGACATTTGGGGCAATAATAGTAAAAGCCAATGGCTAGCTATTTTATAGGTACTACCAACAGGGGTCAGTGAAAACTGGAAAAATCATTTTTGTGTGGATAAGGCACCGTATGCTGGATTTTTATTTATACCCTGATAAACAGAATAAATCATGCAATGCTGTCCTTCCATATAGATTTGAAGGCTTTATACCTACCTGTACACACACTGAAGGGATATCTTAATGTTTTTTGAAAGAACTTTTTTTAATCATTTGCAAAACTTATGGAAAAGTTACAAATTGAATGTCAAGATTTTTTTACACCCGCCCCCCCAAAAATATATGAGAGCAAGATGCTTACATGGTGCTCCATTACCCCCAAATATGTTAATATGTATTTCCCACTAAGAGGACATCCGGCTATATCACTGCACCACCCAGATCAGGAAATTAATAATACATTACTGCCATTTAATTCTCAGACTCCAGGTGTTGCTTATTGTCCCAGTAATGTTCCTTATGACAAAAGGATCCAGTACAGAATCACAAACTGCCTTTAATTATCATGCTTCCTTTGTTTCTTTCAGTCTGGACCAGTTCTTTAGTCTTTCCTTGGCTTTTATAACCTTAACACTTTTACACACCATAGTTATTTTGTAGAAGGTCCTTCAGTTTGTATTTGTCTGATGTTTTCTTGGGATAAGATTCTGGATATACATTTTTGGCAGAAATATCACAGAACTGATGCTGTGTTCAATGCATCCATTAGGTGGCATATAATTTGATTCATCCAATTACTGATGATGTTCACTTTAATTGCTTAATTAAGGTGGTGTCTACCAAGCTTTTCTATTGTAAAGTTACTTTTTTGTTTCCCCTTTTGTAATAAATACATATTGTGTGTGTGAGAAGGGGGTACATTGAAACACTGTATGTTATTTCTTATTGGACTTTCAATTTATTCATTGATGTGTTTATAGCAATATGGACTCAGGTTTCTCTGTTTTGTTCAATGCATCATAATCTGTTAATATTATTGTTTATTTTCAGGTTCAAATTGTCTCCAGTTTGGCCAATGGGAGCACATTAAAGATGGCTTTTGTGTTTTTTGACAGGTCTTCATCATTACTAAGAACTCCCTTGTTTTATGGCATAATAAGATATTTCAGACTCATCATGTACTTTCCCTGCCCCAGCCCTGGAATCAGCCATTTCTCCAAGGAATGCTGATTCTTTTTAATGGACATAATATTTAGAAGACATGACCTGGGCTCTAGGTATATTCACCACAATTAGAGAGTTGCTTTTCCTAGCTCCCCTCACTGGACAAAGCTACATACATGCATATAATTTGCCATGTATTTCTTAATCTCTATGTGTTGAAAACCATTTCACACCAGTACATCCAATTCTAATCCAACATCACAGAGAGTTTATTCCACATATTTTAAGTCCTTTCTCTCACAGTGAGAAACCTGTTTTCTATTATCTTTAAGGTTTTTTTCTTCTTTCATCAGTCTCCCTGAAAGCAACCATTTCCCCATCTTCTTTACTTCTTCTTGGGGCAGCCCCTTGCCCATGTGACACTCTCCCGCTCAGGCTTTAACTCCCTATGCCTGGTTGCTCTCACCCTCTTCCCATGTGGACACCCTTTTCAGCACCTGTACTCTGACACCCATGCCCAGCTGTCCCTCTGCTTGGATGCCCTTCTTACTGAGTTCTGACACGCTGTTCTGGTCATTGAATGTGTGGATTGCTTCTTCAGACTCTGACTCCCATAGCTGGGCCATCCCCCAAATATACACACTTGTCTTACTCTACTTAGATTCTGATACCCTTCTCACTCTACTCAGGCCTGACTCCCTACACCAGGGCATCCCCTGAGCAGAGATCTCCTTTGACCTCTAGGCTCTGCTCCATGTGATCCATCCTCAGCCCATTCAGGCTTGTGCCAGGCAGCTCTCTTACTCAGCCTCCCTGTCCTCTGGCACCCAGCTGTGGCACACCACAGCTTCACCCCCCAACCCCAGCACAGATGCCCAACTTGGTGAACTCCACCTAATGGCTCAAAGCTGAATTGTAAGGGCGGGCGGGCAGGGGGTGGGGGGAGAGAGAGAGAAAAGGCAAAAAGGTTTATTAAATTATTATCTTAAAGTTGTGCTCTGAAATGTTTTATTCAGAGGATCACTTTGGTAATTATTATAATGAAAGTCAGAAAAAATAGAATTTGACATACAAAAATTACTTTATTAGATTTTTTTATATTAAATGAGTTTACTTATATGCCCTGAACTACCTCTGCTGATTAATTACTTTAAGATCAAACAAGAGATCAAGAGACTAAAAGTTCCCAGTCTATTCCAGGTGATAGCATGCTATAAACTATTAGCTTAATATCATCTCTTATTTGATTTTGTCATTAAAGATGGTACTTGTATTTGAATAGGATGTTCTTATGTTAAGCCAAAAAAATTGTAAAAAGAAGAATATGTGTAATGACTTTAAACAGATATTTGTAACTTGACTTTTTCCTCCTTTTTTAAATAGAGGAATCTTCGTTTTGGCTGCCCTTATTTGGCAACATGTGCTGCCGATTAGTTGCCCAGCCAGCTTGTATGGCTGAGGATGCATTTGCAGGATTTCTTAATCAGCAGGTTAGAGGATTTTAACTATTCTACAGTAATTATAGCTCCAATTTAGATCTTAATCCTAATATTGAGAAGTATTTTTTAGAGTCTTCTTTTAAAAACAACAGTTTTCTCATTTGACATAGTCTGGGGAATTGGGAGGGGAGACCTGGGGATGAGCAGGGAGGGTCTAATGCAATTTGGATGGCTAAGGAGCTACCTCTCCAGGTTCCTCTGCTTCATGAATTGCAGTAACAGGATAATCAGCAACAGAGGACTCCTTGTGGAAACGGATGAGGACTGCTCAGCACCTTTCTCATAAGGCCTTTCTGGCAGACAGCTTTTGGCACAGTGTAGGCCTCTGAGCTTCCAAAGCGGCCTCTGTGCCATCTACTCCTGATTTATTTATAACCATAGTTATTTATATTCAGTAAATAATTAATTATGGGCTCCAATGAATCAATAGCGTTTTCTAAAAGATTCCATTAAGAGGAAAGAAAATTTGCATTCTTACAGGGTCGTCAACATTTTCCAGTGCTCTAAGAACAGTAAGGGAAAATTATATTTTGAATACCAAGTTATTTTTATAACTTTCCTGAGTCGATGAATTGCTGTGGAATTCTTAGTACTCATTTTTAATAGACGAGCTTTTTAAAAACTTCATTGATTTATGATTTTATGTGTGTAAATGTTATGTGGTAATTATTACCTCCATTTTGCTTATTTAATGCTTTTGAGAATTCCAGACCTTTATTCTCTAATGTTAAGCTACTCTTCGGTTCTGGGCTGTTAACTCATTATATAGTAAATTAATGGGTAACTATCACATTTAAAAATTTTTTAAAACTAATTTAACTTTGATAATTTAAGTATTTTGTTGAATTTAGAGTTAAGATGATGAATTATGTTTTAAGGTTGATTCTTTCTTGATTTTTTTTTTCTAGCAAATGTTAGAAGGTCTGATTAGTTGGAGAAGGTTGTATTGTGTTTTAAGAGGAGGTAAACTCTATTGTTTTTACACTCCAGAAGAAATTGAAGCTAAAGTGGAACCAGCTTTGGTAGTGCCCATTAACAAGGTAAATAAAATGCTATTTTAAAAATAAAAATATAACATTTAATGAAGTTTGTCCATTTCCATACAGTTTACATTGTTGCCATCTTATAAAGAAAAGGGAAGTACTGCTAAAAATAGGTTAGTTCATAAGGGAATTAATCTTATTTTTCTTTCCATTATAGAGCTAATTCGGTAAAGGAATTGCTGTATATTTCCTTAAAAAACATAGTTATTGGAAATCTATACCAGTAAATAAGTTTTAAAGCAGAGAATATAATTCCACATTAACAGGATTTTAAAATTTTCCAGGAATTTATTTAATTAAGAGATTATATAAACATAAATTGTTAGCTCATGTTACAGTGATATTCTCTTTAGTTAATATTTAAATGAATCCATAAAAAGACATTTCAGAGTGGGATTGATGGGCAGTTGTCCAGCCTTCTGTCAGAACAGGAAAGTCTGACAGTTCATTTAGAATACATGAATGCTTACACTGCATTTAAGAAGTAGTACTACACCACCTAGAGAATCTATTAAACACACACACACAGGTTTGATACAAAGATGATCAAAATTTTTATCCATAAATCTATAGGAAAACTTTCCACAATAAGCCAGACTTATCTTAAATTTATCTTCATCCATCATCTTAGTTTAGTGTTTATTGGAGGTCCCTCCCCCCCTTTTTAACATTCCTTCTAGAGAATAGTATAATGGCATTTCTAGAGCAGAATGTCAGCCTTTCTTTCTAAAGGCTACTTAATTCTTTCTAGTTGTTTTAATTTGCTTGCCTTTGGAGTGGTTGAATTGAAATATATGATAAAATATGAGCCATCCCAGCTTTTAACTCTGCATATTTTACTTGTTTTTAAATTTTCTTTTGGAGGAAAATGTGAAGTGGTATGTCCTGAAAAACATGTAGATACTGGTTTGCTAATTTATAAGGACTTGAGTTAATTTCTATGATCTTTTCCAATAATAACATATGGTCTGTTTCTATCCTGCTTTTAGAACTTACACTGCTTTTCACTTAAAGGAAATCGTTGTATAATTAAGTCCACTTAATATGTCTGTTTTGTGTATTGGAAAGATTGGTGATGCTATTAAATAATATACCTCAATATAACAACATAGTGAATTTATTTTTGGTTTAGAAAATTAGGTTTATGAAAGTACAATTTTATTATTAGAAGTTTGATATAATTTTTTATTATTTGCCAACCTTTTGTTTTGTTTAAGCAGCATTCACTTTCCTCCACCTTATTATAGTCTTCTGAAAATTCCAAATATTCAGGTATACAGAAAAGTTAAAAGAATAGAATAATGAACACCTGTGTACCCTTCACTTAGATTCTTTATCTATTGTTAACATTTTGCCACATTTGCTTTCTCTCTAAATAGTTTAAATTTTTTTCTGAACCATTTCAATGTAAGTAGCAAAAAGCATAACATTTTTCCCTAGAATATTTCAGTGTGTTCCTCCTAAAAACAAGGACATTTCCTTAATAACAATAATATTATTAGCACATTCAAGACAATTATTGTTGATAAAATACTATTATCTAATATACAGAGCAAATTGCCACAATCATCTTCAAAATGTTCTTTCTAATTTTTATTTATTGTTTTATCCAAGACCCCATCAAAGATCACAAAGTGCATCTGGTCACCATGTCTTTTGTTTGTTTCCTTTTCATCTAAAATTGTGCCCTTGCTGCCTTTTTTTTCTTTTTGTCTTTCATTACATTGACATTTTTGAAAAATCCAGGCCAGTCCCCAAATTTGCATTTGACTAATTATTTGACTAATTATTTCACTAGATTTAGGTTACATTATTTAAAATATGTTTTTATTGACTCTAGAAAGAGAGGAAGGGAGAGGGAGAGAGAGAATGAAACATTGATGATAGAGACATCCATCAACTGCCTTCTACACACCCACTACTGGGGATCGAGACCACAATTTGAGTGTGTGCCCTGAATGGGAATTTCTCTCAGTTCATGGGACGCTGCTCAGCCTACTGGTCCACACTGGCCAGAGCTAGCTTCAGTATTTTTGGCAAGAGTTCTACATAGATGATTTTTGTCTAACCTGTTTAGCCAGCTAGGTAGTAAAAATGGAATTCTATGAATTTTTTTAGTATCTATTGTACAGTAGAATATGGATAATAATAAACCAAATTAAAATGTAATTTAAACAAATATTTTTAAAGTCATCTGTTTTATTTGAAAATAGTCTTCAATGTATTCATTTTACTTTATCACAGCTCTTTAAGATAGTCAGAGAAGGCTGAAGTCAGCCCTGTTGTATAGGTATATTATTTCTATTTTTCAAGTGAAGAAATATACTCAGAGGAGATAGAACTTGTCTAGCTAATAAGGAAGATTATATAGCTCACTCTCTTTGTAATGGGTAGGAAAAAAAAGTCAGGCTCAATCCCCAGCTCCAGTAGAGGCATGTGTGGGAAGCAATCAGGAGGCAACCAATTGATCTGTCTCTCTCACATTGATGTTTCTTTCCCTCTGTCTCTCCCCCTCCCATCCACTTGCTCTGAAAATCAGTGGAGGAAATATTCTCAGGTGAGAATTAACAAAACAAAACAAAACAAAAAACACAAAACAATTGTGGGCTGTGTTTCCTGTTCCTCATAGATTGCTGGACTAGATTTGGAAGCCAAAACTTATTCCTATCTCCATACCCACTCGTGAGTCAGTTTTGAAAGTAAAAAGTAGCTCTGGAATGAGGTTCTGATCCTGAAACCTCAATCTACCTCTCAATGCAATGATTTAGGACAGTTATAAGGGAATTCCTCTATTGTTGTAGGCAGTATATCTTTATTTTCTTGTCTGATGGCAAGGGTCTAATTCCTGAAAAGTGCTTAACAATGTTTACATGGCCTGGCTGAATTGACCTTTTTCAATTGTGGTAATAAAGCTGATAACCTAGCAACTAATAGGATTCTGTAGTCAATCAACTCCATTATTAAGATGATTGAAATCAGCATACTTAGAAATCCCAGTGGTGGCTCTGCAATTGACCATTACAAATTCACAGGAAAATGATGAATCTAGTAATTTGTATAAACTCGCCTTAGACTTGGGAACAGCATAGGTTATCTTTGACCCTGAGAACTGATGACAGATATCTCTTACATTGTTTGTGACTTTTGTCAAAAGTACAAAAGGGAATGTAATATTAAACTATGACATAAGATTAAGGTTGGGAAGGTTAATATCATTTACTGGTACTTGCTAATCTCAAAGATTATACAGATGGGAAAGTCTTCCATTCTCTAGCTTTGCAATATTGTCATCTTAATTTTTTCCAGCGCGAATTCCTGCCCTTTCTCTACAGAAACTTTTCTTTCTGCAGTTCCTACTTCCACCTCAGGTTTTCTTTGAACTCTTCTATTCACCTGAAAACTTAACAGTAAATTCCACCGGTCTCCTTGTTTACTTGTGTCAAATATTAACTGGGTCAAGACATTTATTTGTTAACTTATGAAAACACAACTGTTATATAATTATACCTCCTATTTAAAATAGTTTAGATTTTTTCTCAATTTATAGAATTATTCAGATTTACAGAAAAGTTGAAAATACCTTTGTGTTCACTTGTATACCACCTAGGTTCAACAGTTAACATTTTATCATAGTTGTTTTATCCTTTTTTTTTAAAGGGGGCTAACTGCTTTACATTTATCTAATTTTTAATCAACTTTATGATGGTAGAGTTCACATAAAATAAAATTCACCAATTTTAAACAGTACATTTTGATAATTTTGGCAAATATACAGTTGTGTGATCATTGCTATAATCATTGAATTACAGTTTTTTTGTTTTTAATCATTTTTGGTGAGAAGTTCTATTCAGCAAATTTCAATTATACAGTAGTGTTTTCAGCAATACAATAGTGTTAATAATAGTCACCATGTTTTATATTAGTCTAGAGGCCCGGTGCACAAAAATTGTGCACTGGCCAGGGGCGGGGGCGCGGGTTGCCCCTCAGCCCAGCCTGCACCCTCTCCAATCTGGGACCCCACAGGGATCGGGCCTAAACCAGCAGTCGGACATCCCTATCACAATCTGGGACTGTTGGCTCCCAACCGCTCACCTGCCTGATTGCCCCCTAACCATTCCCCTGCCAGCCTGATCGACGCCTAACTGCTCCCCTGCCAGCCCGATCACCCCCAACTGCCCTCCCCTGCCGGCCATCTTGCCGCTGTGGGTGCCGCCATCTTTGAGGGCATGGCAGTCAATTAGCATATTCCCTCCTTATTGGCTGTGGGCACTGCCATCTTTGAGGGTGTGGCAGTCATTTAGCATATTCCCTTCTTATTGGCTGTGGGCGCCACCGTCTTTGCAGCCTGCTGCTCAGTCGTTTTATCACCCCTCACTAACCCCCCTGTCGGTCTGGTCGCCCCACGCAGCCTGTTTGGTTGTCCGTTTGGTTGTGATGGTTGCTTAGGCTTTTATATAGATAGATCCTTAGACCTTATTCATCTTACAGCTGAAAGTTTATGAAGCCTCTTATCTATATTTTTTTCTGACCCATTTGAAATATATGTACAATACTATTATCACAGCTAAGCAAATTAACAATAATTTTCTTATATCATCTAATATCCATTTCATGCTCAAATTTTCCAATTGTCCCCAAAGTGTTTGTTTAGCTTTTACTTTCAATCTAGGATTATTTAAATATTGTGTATCCTTTGTTCTTCTGAATTGAAAATTAGGTCCAGAGGCTTGATTAGATTCTTTTAAAATATTTTTACAAGAATATTCCATGGATATGACAGATACTTTATAGAGCATCCTTTTCAGAGACACATGATATCAGGTGGTCTGCTTATTGACAATGCTGGGTTAAGGTGGTGACCACTAGCTCCCCTAGTATATAGGTAAGCTTTCCTCGTTACTGTTAGCAAGTGCTAGTGTAAAAGGTGATACTTTGTGATTGCCCTTGCCTAAATGAGTCATGACCTTGCAGATTGCATATGTTTTCTCGTACTGTCC